TCAACATAGAAAGACATATTTAAAGCCGAAGTGTTGTCCAAATTACAATTTTAACCCCCGGTTAACTTAAGGTAAGTTCAATGTATAGGAACAACTGTATGTTATGTGTTATATGTTCTATGTGCTTTTCAGTGTTATTATTCTGAGTTATTTTCCCGTGTGATTTTATTCGCTATGTTTATAGAAATTGTAATACCTTTGACCATGTGATCAGTGAAAGGACTTAGATTCACATTGGTACTGGTACGTAGCCTCTGGCAATGTAGAGCATGTCTCCGTAAGATAATGACTTCTATTCTATGGCATTGGCAAATGGTTAAACAGGACTATAAGCCTGAAATCTAACAAGATGTTAATCAGAAATTGCATGTCTTCTATGCCATTTGGGCCAAAGCTTTATTGATGTATATCAAGAATTGAAAAGTATATCTTTGAATAAAGTCTTTGATTGATATGAACGATTGTCACATGATCTCACATACATCTTGTTGTTCCTCTTTTCTTTTGCCACATTGAAGTATATATATGGCATAACGTTATATTGTATTTATTTTTGAACTCACTAAGCGTCACCGCTTACTCTATCAATGTTTAACAATTGCAAGTGATAAGTAACTAGTATGTTCACATAGTATTGAAGATTTAGAATATTTTGTAATAGTACTTTTGTACTACAGTTTATGTTTGTAAAATTACAATATCCTGGGTAGTTATGTAATATATACATATATATATATATATATATATATATATATATATATATATATATATATATATATATATATATATATATATACTTTGTAATAGAAGGTTTGTATCCAATAGTTTGTAATTCCCTTTATCAATCTAAAATATTGCTTTTATGAATATGAAAATAACATGTTTTGGAGTAATGATATTGTGAAGTATGAAAGTTTGGGTCTTTCAAAAATACGAAAGTTGGGGTCTTTGAGTCACCCACCTCATGAATACATTCATATTCACTTAGTAGCTAACTCCCATTACCTAAGAGTTCCACAAAGCACAAAGCAAGCAGTATTCGACCAGTAACACTCCAATCCATAGAATGATTATAGAACCTTCAACACACAGCATGACTCATACTAGAGATTTCCACCCTTACTGTCGGTTGCATTATGCATGCAAAGTATATACAAAACAGGATCAAATAGGCTCTTGAATAAAAGACTCTCCCCCGTGGTCTTTACTTGGAATGTCATGGGCTCCCTCCATGGTCTTTACCTAGAGTGCCATGGGCTCCCCCCATGGTCTAATATACAAGTGTTACGGGCTCCCCTCATGGTCTTCCATGTAAGTATCACAGAGACAACTAGCATTCTATATAACAAGTAATGGGCCGACATTGGTTCCTTGACCCATAGATATAGTGAGAAGACTCACCTCACATACTGAAAGAATAACTACACCAATCACTACTCTAAAAGCTATATCTATCGGTCACTTATACAATCAACAGGAGTCCAAATCTCAACTATAAATCAAATTACCCAAAATACCCTTAGGTCAAACTTGGTCAAAGTCAAATTCAACGGAGTACACACTGTGTACCAAAATAGTATGCCCAACGTACTCTAATGTTGACCAAAAGTGGGGCGCTGACCAATACCTTCCTAACACCTATATAAACCCTCCTTAGGGTTAAATTTCAGCCTAACCCTTCATTCCAAGTGCCTTAGCCTAAATTTTGATCTACTCCTCTCTTTCTCTATAGTATTCCTTGGTTGCTTGAGTTTGTTTGTGAACCATTAGAGGCCCGACACTTGTGGTGCTTGCTACCAAAGCTCTTTCAAGCAATGATTCAAGATTGTTTACAATAACAATCTTAAAGGTATGCATTATAACCCTATTATGTGATTTTCGATTATTACCATAGATCAAGGGTTTATACTTTATTGTTCATTGTATGTTCAGTTAGAGAAAATGTAGATCTTCAATTAGGTTTGCATGCACACATAGGATTGTATGTTATGCTCAAAACCCATCAGTTTCAACACCATAGTAGAAAGGTAAGACACTGACATTGAAGAGACCCTCACTAAGGTATCCCTTTCCAATATACACCCCACCCTTGAAAAGAACAAATTTATCAGACTCAAATACAAGTATGAAACCTTTGTTACTAAGAATAGGACTAGAAATCAAATTCTTAGTAACTTTAGGAACATGCAAGATATCACTGAGAAAGAGTTCTTTATCAAAAGTCAGTTGCAGCTTCACTTTTCCCTTTCCTTCAATTTTTGTTGTAGTAGCATTCCCCAAAAACACTGGTTCAGAATAAGTGATTTTTTTGGTATGTAGAGAAATGGTTCTAGAGTTGCAAATGTGCCTTCAGGCTCCCGTATCAATCCACCAATTGACACAATTGCTAACAATGTTGGTTTGAATTACAGAAGCAAACTGATTTGGTGATTCAACCATGTTAGTTTCACCAGAAGTTCCTCCACCAGAATTTCCACCATTGTTTCCATCGTCCCCTCCATTTTTTCTTCCGTGACCCTTCCTGAATCTTCAATCTTTGGCCTTATGTCCAATTTTTCCACAAACATAGCATGGACCAGATTTCTTCTTGAAATTCTTCTTGTTTGGGCTATGATTTTTTCCATCTTTGGGAAGAGTTTTTGGAGCCTTGTTTTCCTTTCTTGTTGTTGTGCTTTTTCCTTGAAGAACTTGCTTCTCCTACAAAGTTTGCACTTGGATCTAAGGAATTTGCATCAGCCTTCTCATTTAATCTGTTATCTTCTTCCACACGAATTCTTAACACAAGTTGCTCAAAACTCATGTCATCAGTTAAGTGCTTAAGATATAGTTTGAAATTCTTCCAAGAAGGAGGAAGTTTTTCGATGATTGAACCAACAAGAAAGTTAGAGTTTATACCCATACCTTGAACTTCAAGATCATGTGCAATGAATTGAATATCCTCTACTTGCTTGAGGACATATTGGTAAGTGCCGTCTTGAAATTCATAAACTTTCCAATCACGAATTTCTTGGAACATGTCACCTCTGTTTTGTATTTCTTTTTCAATGATTCACATATCTCTCTTACAGTAGGAATAGTAGAGTGTATATCATAGAGGGAATCATCCACGACATTCAGAATATAATTTATGCAATTATATTCATTGGTGTTCCAAATTTCCACTGCCCTTTGGTGTTTTACGAATTGGGCCGCAGTAGGTGGTGTTAATCCTTCTATAGTGGTTACACCAGTAGATAGAGATGGAGAATCATCAGTGACAACATTGGAAATGTGAAGAGTTGTCAAATAAAACAACATTTTCTATTGCGATCTCCGAAAATCCGAGCATTTGAATTTCTCAGGCTTTTTCACATATGTTTTGATGATGGATTGTTAATTCATTCTTCCACTTTTTGATTTATGTCGTAGATTGTTATGACAATAGAAAAAAAAAAGAAAATGGACAAACATAAACATAAACAAATCGAATTTATATGAATCAAAGATTCATAAATAAGAATATATACTTGAATGTTGATGTATACAATAGAAAATATAAACTCGAAATTGTAGATTGAGGCTTGCAATTGCAATGTGCTAAGAAAGAAATTTTCCTGGTAGGGATTTGTCAATAGGATACAACACTTAACCAAGATCTTCTCTTGATTGTGACGAAGTTTACTATGTTCCCTTCATTGTTTGTGGAATACAAAATTATATGAGGAATATGTGTGTGGTTTTTCCGAACCTGAAATCTGGTCTTTGTTAATGTATTTATAGATATACATTGACTGTTTTTTCCTCCAAAAACTGCTAACCAAAAAAAACTATCAAGACAGTTAAAACGAATTTAAAAGATTTTTAGTATATATATATATATATATATATATATATATATATATATATATATATATATATATATATATATAATAATGTAATTAGTCTAAGAGACCCTAAGAGCCCCAATACCCAAGTCCAATCTTTTGACCATTATATATATATATATATATATATATATATATATATATATATATATATATATTAATCTAAGTCTTTCAAGACCAATTTGACTGGCCCAAACACCAAATCCAACCCAATCCTTTTAGTCCAAGCCTTTGATCTAATTAGTAACAACTAGTAGATGCATTTTAAGAGGGTATAAGTTTCATCTTTCTTCTAACAGTTTGTTTGGATATAAAAAAAGTATCAAGAAATGAAATATATAACATTTAGATTATTATACATAAGTTTAGTCTCTAATCTACGAATCATTATGATAACGCTAATCATGGATTTAAGAATCTCGTTAATAGACTTGTTATAATCGATTCTCTTGCCATATCCACAATATTTGTCACCTCATACTCACCCACCTGATAGCCCCTTTTTCCATCTTCTTGCTCCCGACTTTGTTTTTTCTTTAAAGTTATTGCTTTTGGGGATTAGGGTTAAGAAGCTCTTGTCTGACTATCTTCTATCTAATTTTAATGTTTTCTTACAAAGCGAAATTAAATTTGCATTATTCAACAATTCTATTTAAAAGGTCAAATTTTAGGTTATTTAGATTAGGGATTTATAAGTTTCACGGTAATGATTTTGGGTACTTTATAGGTTTCATACGAACGGCTCAATTGAGTATAGAGATGGTACACTTTTCTCAAATCCCAATTGCGTAATTGGCGATTTTGTTTCTGCTCATGTGAAGGTCGAATGCAAGTGTATAACCGGTTTGCTTTCCACATCCGGTTTGCTTTCGAGGATTAGGGTTAAGAAGCTCATGACTTACCATGTTCTAGTTTTAATGTTTTCTTACAAAGTGAAGTTAAATTAGCATTATTCAACAATTTTATTTAAATGGTCAAATTTTAGGTTTTTTAGATTAGGGATTTATAAGTTTCATGAAGATTTTGGGTACTTTATAGGTTTCTTATGCACAACTCAATTAAGTATAGATATGATACACTTTTCTCAAATCCCAATTGCATAATTGAGGATTCTATTTTTGGTCATGTGAAGGTTGAATGCAAGTGTATAAGATAGTGAAGGAAGGATTGAAGGATGAAGCTCCTGCAGAACTAGTGAATTTGAACAATAAACCACCAGATACACTAATCATTGAGGAGATGCAGGTTTGGGTGGAGAAACTGGAAGAGGATTTGCATATTATAAGGGTAGATGACGAATATTCAATCTTATGTGCCAAGGATTTGAATCCTCGTAAAGATGAAAAATCATCTCCTACTAAAACTAATGTGAAGAAGATCTTCATTCGATCGCGCTTATATAGAGAGCTTAATCTACAGTCGACTAGAGGATCGATGCGTCGGCTCAAATCCGGTGGTGCCATAAGAGAGCCTAGTTCCTTCAAAGTTGGAATTGAATACCGAAGATTGTTAGCTTTAGAAAATAGAGAAGTAAGATTCTGATAGAATAACAAGTCCTTTTGGCAGTGGAAACGAAAAGAAGATTGAAGGAGAATAAATAGTTGTTTTTCATCCTTTTCGAGTCATGTACATTCCCTATGAACAAACAGAGAAGGTGGGTTAGTGTGGGTCATTGGTCAAGGAAAGTGGGGTTCATAAGTGTGTATGTGGCATTAATAATTGAGGTGCCAAAAATGTGACCGCCTTACCCCTTCAAAACTTCCAAAACAACCTTATCGACCCGATAAAAATTAGTTTGTTCCCTTATAAAGCCATGAAAATTGTTTAGGTACTCAAATGACCAACACAAAAAAGTTGCTAGGGCATTTGTGTCATTAACCAAAAGAACCCAACAGGATGGATATTTATAGTAGCCAAAAAACATAGCTAGGTTAAATCCATCTCTAACCCATTAGAATGTTTTAATTTTAATGGGATGGACGCAAATTACAATTTGAAAAACACTAACTGGATGCAATATAACTTAGAAGCAGATGTACTAGCTTCAACTCAATCAAACGGTTTCAAATGCGTTTGAAGAGATGCAACATTAAGAGGTGTATGAATACTGTAAACACGTCCGGTAATCAATGGAAGTTGACGTTGCCTCGATATGTCAAGCCTAAGTTCCAGTTAGCAGGGGCGACATTGTAGGCAGTGATAGTCTGTTTGGTGGTGTATGAAGTTAATCTGAAGGAGAGGGCTTGACCCTTAAGAGTAGCAAAAGCTTGGTACGACGCACCCCAGTTATGACTCATGCTCATCCAACCTGTCTTTGTCCCTTTCACCCACATCTGTTTGATGTCTCCAGCTCCAGCAACATTCATCACATACACCAACAGCCAATACCCATTTCCATGAAATGAGAATCGAATGCCACCTTTTCTAATACCATTGCATGGTACTCTAAAATACAAAAACAAGAAAATATTAGCATTATACATATCAAATTAAGTTAATTTGTTCATCTTTGTGCATCAAAAGTTATAAAGTAGAAAAGCTTGATGCTTGCTAGTATGGGAGCAGAAATTCACCTGCGGTACATGACAGGGACAATGCCTGCCTTCCACTGAGCAATTTTCATGAACGCAGGCTTGGCCATGTCGAAGTGGGTTCTGGGAGGGTTGCACCATCCACCATTGTTTGAATCCTGAGACCAGTTAGGCGGGCAGAGGTTGGTGGCAGTAACGGTGGTGTATCCTTTGTAGCACCATGGAGATTGGACACACCGTATTTGGTAACACTGACCACAGGCGTAACCTTCGCTAAAGATGGTTGTGCTCAAAGCAGCTGTATCCGTTCCATATCCATTAGTTATCAAGTTTCCATATCCACAAGCACCACCTGAAATATATATATCCAAAAATGTTATATTCACTTGATAGTGAAACGGGTATTAGATATGTAGAAGATACCAGCTTTAAGCCATGATATTTACCCATGGTTTCAGATGCACTCTCATCCCCATAAAATGTCGCATGGGCAAGGGTCCATGGACTTGGTACGTAGCCATGGTAGACAGCTTCGCTAGGTTTCACAAACCAGGAGAAAGCAAGTGTGACGATGCTAAGGATGAAGAAAAACCTCTGTGGGTGATGAAGTGAAGCCATGGTGACTTTGAAGTTGTTGTGAACTTTTTGTACAAGTGCTAGCTGCTTATAGACTTCACTGATTCAAGAGCTATTTATAGCACCCAAACACTAAGGACATAATGTCCGTAGTGGTTTTGCCCTTCGTGCCCCTCACGAAGGTTGACATAAGTAAGTCAACGTTGATTACATTTTCCTAATACTATGCATCAATCCAAGTTCATCCTAACATACATACATTCCCCAAGTTAAAAAAAATAACTTTTTCATATAGAAAGTTGACTGAACTCAAAGTAAATGATCGATAATATATAACATCAGTAACAAGCTAATATGAAAATTTTACATTTAGCGACTTTTTAAGATATTGAACGGTTGCTAATAAGAATAAGAAATATTTTTAAGATGGTCATATTGGTACGACAGTATTTTACTTTGCACGAATGAAATCCCACGAAATTCAAAGAGAACGTGCGAGCAGGTTGTATGATCGTTTGTTTGGATATAAAAAAAAAGTTTCGATAAATGAAATGTCTAACATCTAAATTATTATACATAAGTTCAGTCTCTAATCTACGAATCATTATGATAACGCTAATCATGGGTTTAAGAATCTCGTTGATTGCATGTTTATTGGTTGAAAGATTTTTGTTCCACATTTGGTTATGCTTTGCCGCCGACTTTTCGTATATGTGGAATTTATCGCATTATTAATGAGGCTACGTGATATCGACATATAATTTTCGTAGAATCAAGTGATAAACGAATTCAAAATTTAGTAGGAATTTAATCTTAATTATTCCAGTCATAGAGATCAAGTTAATTACCATGCAATTCATCAATGATAAAAACACATCAACAATAAAATCAACTGGTAATCTCATCTTCATAAGTTTTTCCGTCAACATGGAGAAGCTAAGTAGCTACACCAAGGTTTTAAAACGCTCGTCATGGCACATTATAACTGCAAGGCTTGTATTTACCGCCAAACTTTACTAAAATGTCGTTTTAACACATATATGTGTATAAAATATAAAAATAGTTGAAAATACATATAAAAATATTAATTATATTCAAAATTATCGCCTTAAGTCACGCCTTACAAACGACATGGCTCGTCAATGCTCAAAAAAGTTTGAGACTTCACATTGCCGCAAAGTAACGTTTTACGTTATTTAGAACCTTGAGCTACACACAACTATAAAACAGAGTTTTTCTGACGGCCATTTACGACATATTCGGGGTGTTTCTGACGAAAAAGTGTATCGTAAAATACCGATAAAAAGCATTTGTCAGGTTTGACCACTTATACCAACATATAGTTTTTATTGACGAAATTTCGATCACAAATCCGTTTGGTAAAATAATAATAATTACAAAAATGGGTAAACGCCTTTTAAAATCCCCTCCTTGCACAAACCAAAGATCACATGAGTCTGCTCCAAACACCATTGGTAATCCCCGACGAGATGAACTCCCACATCTACTCACTAATCGGCTCAGTACCTGCACCTGAGCCGGAACCAAAACCAGACCCTTCTTCATGGGTGCTCATCACCAAACTAAAATACAACCAGCAAATGATCCAAACATACCTAAGAATCCTCTTCCCATATGCTTCTCAGATTCTCCAAGACTCTCCCTAATTTGAGTATGGATCCTTCGCTTTCAGTAGTACGGACCCAATATTAACTCCCACATCTATCCATACTTTCCTTAAGATTCATCTCGAATCCTCTAAGTCACCGTCTCAATATGATGCACCCAAAAACTCACTAAACAATGCAACAAAATCCACTGAAGCAATCCCTAGGCTTTCCTAGGTTCTCGACCTCACCCTGCCATCAACTCCTGAAGAACTCCCCATAATGCCAGTCACCCACCTCATGAATACATTCATATTCACTTAGTAGCTAACTCCCATTACCTAAGAGTTCCACAAAGCACAATGCAAGCAGCATTCGACCAGTAACACTCCAATCCATAGAACCTTCAACACACACCATGACTCATACTAGAGATTTCCATCCTTACTGTCGGTTGCCTTATGCATGCAAAGTATATACAAAACAGGATCAAATAGACTTTTGAATAAAAGACTCTACCCTAGAACCATAATCAGACAAGGAACATAAATAAGGCTAAATCAATTATTCTAGGGCTATAAGATCCTAACCGTATACAATTTTTAAGACTCTACTTAACAATTGACGATTTCAATAGATATCGCTGTTCCAACATAGCATCCAATACACCCAAGGCTACAAGGCATCACATATCAAACCAATCTATCACCAACTAATCAACACCAACATACGATTCTACCAGCTCATACAAATTCAATGGAGTACACACTGTGTACCAAGAGAGTATGCCCAATGTACTCTAATGTTGACCAAAAGCGGGGTCTTGACCAATACCTTCCTAACACCTATATAAACCCTCCTTAGGGTTATATTTCAGCCTAACCCTTCATTCCAAGTGCCTTAGCCTAAATTTTGATCTACTCCTCTCTTTCTCTATAGTATTCCTTGGTTGCTTGAGTTTCTTTGTGAACCATTAGAGGCCCGACACTTGTGGTGCTTGCTACCAGAGCTCTTCAAGCAATTATTCAAGATTGTTTACAATAACAATCTTAAAGGTATGCATTATAACCCTATTATGCGGTTTTCGATTATTATCCATAGATCAAGGGTTTATACTTTGTTGTTCATTGCATTTTCAATTAGAGAAAATGTAGATCTTCAATTAGGTTTGCATGCACACATAAGATTGTATGTTATGCTCAAAACCCATCAGTTTCAACACCATAGTACAAAGGTAAGACACTGACATTGAAGAGACCCGCACTAAGGTGTCCCTTTCCAACATACACCCCACCCATGGTGAGAACAAATTTATCAGACTCAAATACAAGTTTGAAACCCTTGTTACTAAGAATAGGACTAGAAATCAGATTCTTAGTTACTTCAGGAACATTTAAGATATCATTGAGAAAGATTTCTTTATCAAAAGTCAGTTGCAGCTTCACTTTTCCATTTTCTTCAATTTTTGCTGTAGTAGCATTCCCCAAAAACATTAGTTAAGAATAAGAGATTTTCTGGTATGTAGAGAAATGGTTCTAGAGTTGCACATGTGCCTTCAGGCTCCCATATCAATCCACCAATCGACACAATTGCTAAGAATGTTGGTTTGAATCACAGAAACAAACTCATTTGGTGATTTAACCATGTTAGTTTGACCATAAGTTCCTCCACCAGAATTTCCACCATTGTTTCCATTGTTCCCTCCATTTTTTCTTCCTTGACTCCTCCTAAATCTGCAATCTTTGGACTTGTGTCCAATTTTTCCACATAGCATGGACCAGAATTCTTCTTGAAATTCTTCTTGTTTGGGCTATGATTTTTTCCATCTTGGGAAGAGTTTTTGGAGCCTTGTTTTCCTTTCTTGTTGTTGTGCTTTTTCCTTGAAGAACTTGCTTCTCTTATAAATTTTGCACTCGGATATAAGGAATCTGCATCAGCCTTCTCATTTAATATGTTATCTTCTTCCACACGAATTTTCAATAGAAGTTGCTCAAAACTCATGTCATCAGTTAATTGCTTAAGATATAGTTTGAAATTCTTCCAAGAAAAAGGAAGTTTTTCGATGATTGAACCAACAAGAAAATTATAGTTTATACCCATACCTTGAACTTCAAGATCATGTGCAATGAATTGAATCTCCTCTACTTGTTTGAGGACAGATTTGGTATCCGCCATCTTGAAATTCATTAACTTTCCAATCACGAATTTCTTGGAGCATGCCACCTCTATTTTGTATTTCTTTTTCAATGATTCACGTATCTCTCTTGCAGTAGGAATGGTAGAGTGTATATCATAGAGGGAATCATCCGAGGCATTCAGAATATATTTTCTGCAATTATATTCATTTGTGTTCCAAATTTCCGCAGCCCTTTGGTGTTCTGCCAATTGGGCCGTAGTAGGTGGTCTTACTCCTTCTACAGTGGTTACACCAGTAGATAGAGAGGGAGAATCATGAGTGACAACATTGGAAACGTGAAGAGTTCTCAAATAAAACAACATTTTCTTTTGCAATCTCCGAAAATCAAAGTCTTTGAATTTCTTAGGCTTTTCCACATGTGTTTTGATGATGGATTTTTGATTCATTCCTCCACTTTTTGATTTATATCTTAGATTGTTATGACAAAAGAAAAAAAACAAAAATAGACAAACAAAAATATAAACAAATCGAATTTATATAAATCAAAGATTCATAAATAAGAATACATACTTGAATGTTGATGTATACAATAGAAAATAGAAACTCGAAATTGTAGATTGAGGCTTGCAATTGCAGTGTGCTAAGACATAAATTTTCCTAATTGGGATCTATCAATAGGATACAACAATCAACCAATATCTTCTCTTGATTCTGATGAAGTTTACTATGTTCCCTTCATTGTTTATGGAATACAAAATTATATGAGGAATATGTGTGTGGTTTTTTTGAACGAGAAATCTGCTCTTTGGTGATGTATTTATAGATATACATTGACTGTTTTTTACTCTAAAAACTGTTAATCGAAAATAACTGTCAAGACAATTAAAATGAATTTAACAGATTTTTAATATAAAATAAAAGTCAAAATCGAAATTAATATATATAAAAATAATGTAATTAGTCAAAGAGACCCCAAGAGCCCCCAATGCCCAAGGCCAATCTTTTAACCATTATATATATATATATATATATATATATATATATATAATATATATATATATATATATATATTAATCTAAGTCTTTCAAGACCAATTTGACTAGCTCAATCACCAAATCCAACTCAATCACTTTAGTCTAAGCCTTTGATTTAATTAGTAAACAACTAGTAGGAGGCTTTTTAAGATAGTATAAGTTTCATTTTTCTTCTAATATGCGACAAGTCCCATAGAGAAAGTTTTCATTTAACAATGTTCCAACAGTTTGTTTGTATATAAAAAAAAGTATCGAGAAATGAAATATATAACATTTAGATTATTATACATAAGTTTAGTCTCTAATGTACGAATCGTTATGATAATGCTAATCATGGATTTAGGAATCTCGTTAATAGACTTGTTACAACCGGTTCTCTTGCCACATTCACAATATTTGTCACCTCATACTCACCCACCTGACAGCCCCTTTAATGTTTTCTTACAAAGCAACATTAAATTAGCATTATTCAACAATTTTATTTAAATGGTCAAATTTTAGGTTTTTAGATTAGGCATTTATAAGTTTCATTGTAAAGATTTTGAGTACTTTATAGGTTTCTTATGCACAACTCAATTGAGTATAGATATGATACACTTTTCTCAAATCCCAATTGCATAATTGAGGATTATGTTTTTGTTCATGTGAAGGTCGAATGCAAGTGTATAAGATAGTGAAGGAAGGATTGAAGGATGAAGCTCATGTAGAACTAGCGAATTTGAACAATAAACCACCATATACACTAATCATTGAGGAGTTGCAGGTTTGGATGGAGAAAATGGAAGAGGATTTGCATATTATAAGGGTAGATGACGAATATTCAATCTTATGTGCCAAGGATTTGGATCCTCGTAAAGATGAAAAATCATCTCCTGCTAAAATTGATGTGAAGAAGATCTTCATTCGATCGCGCTTATAAAGAGAGCTTAATCTGGGGATTATACAGTCGACTGGAGGATCGATGCATCGGCTCGAATCCGGTGGTGCCATAAGAGAGCTTAGTTCCTTCAAAGTTGGAATTGAACACCGAAGATTGTTAGCTTTAGAAATTGGAGAAGTGAGATTCTGATAGAAAAACAAGACCTTTTGGCAGCGGGAAACGAAAAGAAGATTGAAGGAGAATAAATCGTTGTTTTTCATCCTTTTCGAGTCATGTACATTCCCTATGAACAAACGGAGGAGGTGGGTCAGTGTGGGACATTGGTCAAGGAAAGTGGGGTTCATAAGTGTGTATGTAGCATTAATAATTGGGGTGGCAAAAATGTAACCCGCTTATCCATTCCAAACTTCCAAAACAACCTTATCGACCCAACAAAAATTAGTTTGTTCCCTTATAAAGCCAAGAAAATTGTTTAGGTACTCAAATGACCAACTCAGAAAAGTTACTAGGGCATTTGTGTCATTAACCTAAAGAACGCCACATGATGGATACTTATAGTAGCTAAAATACATAGCTAGGTTAAATCCATCTCTAACCCATTAGAATATTTTAATTTTAATGGGATGGACGGAAATTACAATTTGAAAACAACTAACTGGATGCAATATAGCTTAGAAGCAGATGTACTAGCTTCAACTCAATCAAACGGTTTCAAATGCGTTTGAAGAGATGCAATATTAAGAGGCGTTTGAATACTGTAAACACCGCCGGTAATCAATGGAAGTTGACGTTGCCTTGATATGTCAACCCTAAATTCCAGTTAGCAGGGGTGACATTGTAGGCAGTGATAGTCTGCTTGGTGGTGTATGAAGTTAATCTGAAGGAGAGGGCTTGTCCCTTAAGAGTAGCAAAAGCTTGGTACGACGCACCCCAATTATGACTCATGCTCATCCAACCTGTCTTCGTCCCTTTCACCCACATCTGTTTGATGTCTCCAGCACCAGCAACATTCATCACATACACCAACAGCCAATACCCATTGCCTTGAAATGAGAATCTGATGCCACCTTTCCTAATAGCATTGCATGGTACCCTAAAATACCAAAAAAAGTAATTAGCATGCCCGTAGAATACATATATATCAAATTAAGTTAATTTGTTCATCTTTTGAGCATCAAAAGTTATAAAGTAGAAAAGCTTGATGCTTGCTAGTATGGGAGCAGAAATTCACCTGCGGTACATGACAGGGACAATGCCAGCCTTCCACTGAGCAATTTTCATGAACGCAGGCTTGGCCATGTCGAAGTGGGGTTCTGGGAGGATTACACCATCCACCGTTGTTTGAATCCTGAGACCAGTTAGGCGGGCAGAGGTTGGTGGCAGTAACGGTGGTGTATCCTTTGTAGCACCATGGAGATTGGACACACCGTATTTGGTAACACTGACCACAGGCGTAACCTTCGCTAAAGATGGTTGTGCTCAAAGCAGCTGTATCCGTTCCGTATCCATTAGTTATCAAGTTTCCATATCCACAAGCACCACCTGAAATATATATAGCCAGAAATGTTATATTCACTTTATAGTAGTTAAAACGGATATTTGATTGCTAGAAGATATTAGCTTTAAACCATGATATTTACCCATGGTTTCAGATGCACTCTCATCCCCATAAAATGTCGCATGGGCAAGGGTCCATGGACTCGGTACGTAGCCATGGTAGACAGCTTCGCTAGGTTTCACAAACCAGGAGAAGCAGGCAAGTGTGATGATGCTAAGGATGAAGAAAAACCTCCTTGGGTGATGAACTGAAGCCATGGTGACTTTGAAGTTGTTGTGAACTTTTTGTACGAGTGCTGCTTATAGACTTCACTAATTTCAGGAGCTATTTATAGCACCCAAACACTAACGACATAATGTCCGTAGTGGTTGCCCTTTGTGGCCCTCACGAAGGTTGACATTCGTAAGTCAACGTAATTGATTACATTTTCTTAATACTATATATCAATCAAAGTTCATCCTAACATACATATATTCCCCCAAGTAAAAAAAACATTTATCATATAGAAAACTGACAGAACTCAAAGTAAATGATCGATGATAACATTAGTTACAATCTAATACGAAAATTTTACATTCAGTGACTTGTTTTTTTTTATTTTATTTTGACCGGCACATTTAGTGACTTGTTAAGATATTGAACGGTTGCTAATAAGATTAAGAAATATTTTTAAGATGAACATATTGGTACAACGACAGTATTTTACTGTGTATGAATGAAATCCCACGAAATACGATGACAACGTGCTAGCAAGTTGTATTCTAGTTTGTTTGGCTAGAAAAGTCTCCAGAAATGAAGTATTTAACACTTAGATTATCATACAGAAGTTGAATCCCTAATCTGCGAATCATTATAATAACGCTAACGCTAATAATGGATTTAAGAATCTCGTTAGAATTGCATGTTTAGTGGTTGAAAGATTTTCTGAACCACGTTTGGTTATATAGCCGCGGACTGTTCGTATATTTGGAATTCATCACCTTACCGAAGGCAAGTGATATATACCATATAATTTAAGAGGATTCTAGGCCAATGGCGGGTCCTGATAGAGCTCTATTTATGAATATAACATCTTCTGACACACCTTTGTTTGCAGTCTTGTTGTTCGGTTGTGGTGATTCTTCGGTTGGTTGTGGTTATTAGGCTCGTGGGTGTGGGCTCAGCAACCTCAGCGACCAACGCACACCGGGCCGACCCTTCGACTTGCAGAGCTCGGCTCGGCATCAAGGTTTATATATGCCAAGTATTGATGACCATCGGGAAGTTAGGGGTAGCTGGCAACGGCTATTTCCATTTAATTTTTTTCCTTTTTTTTTACCTTTTTTTTGAAAACCTTCTATAAATACTACAACTTCAACATATTTTAACACGTAACATCAACTTACAACTCAAATATATTCTCTCAAAATGTCTTCTTCGTCGTCTTCATCAAGCATGTTTGATGCCTTGTTTGAAACGTCTATATAGATTATTCAGGAGGCGGAGCAGCTGATCGAACGACTACAGGAAGAAAATGTTGAGAATGCACGCCAGAGGAAGAGAAGATACATACAAAGATTTCGTGAGGCGGCTAATGATCGACTCATGCAAGATTACTTTGTGGATGATGCCAACTTTATAGGATAATATTTTCATCATCGGTTCCGTATGCATAAATCTTTGTTTTAATTTGTGTATAGTCAACGACGTCACGGCAACGTGTCCATTTTGTCGATAACATCGAGATGCTAGAGGTATAACTGGTTTTAATCCTATACAAAAATGCACCGCTGCACTTCGTCAATTAGCATATGCCACTTGCCCCAATGCACTAGAGGAGAACCTTAGGATGTCCAGACGTGTTGCAGGAACTAACATTCACAAATTTTGCAAGTATGTCATGAGATTATATGGTCCACGATATATGCACAAGCCTGCTTGTAGTCACATCCAACAATTGTATGCTCATCACTAAAACGTGCACGACTTTTCTAGAATTTTAGAAAGCCTAAATTGCCTCCACTGGGCATGAGGTTGTTGTCCGAATGCCCATAAAGGGCAATACACCTGAGGCGGTCATAGTTATCCAATAGTTATACTTGAAGCGGTGGCGTCACAGGATATGTGGATATGGCATGCATTCTTTAGCTCATTTGGCTCCCTTAATGACATCAGTGTTATTAAAATGTCTTCGTTACTTGACGACATGTATGACGGGACTGCGCCAGACTCCTATTTTCATGTAGCTGGAACATCGTATAGGAACGGGTATTATCTGGTGGATGGGATCTATCCGGAGCGTGCTTGTTTTGTGAAGTCATCGTCTTGTCAAAATGATCGAAAAAGGTTGAAGTTTAAGAGAGCTCAAGAGCTGGTGAGAAAGGATGTTGAACGAGCATTTTGAGTTTTGAAAAAACGTTCGCATATTCTTAAATATCCCACGTCGTATATAGAGGAGAAGAAAATGAGTGAAGTGATGTATACTTGTATCATATTGCATAATATGATTCTCGAACACGAAGGAAATACAATATGTGAGTATAACGAAAACGAGACAAGTCCACTGACACAAGCTTTTGAGGTTGGAAGCGCGGAGTACATATCAAGGAGGGCATTGGTTAATGATGTTGAGACGCGTCATGTTCTTCATAAGGACTTAACGGGGCATATTTGGAACGTCAACAACATCGATCTTAACACAGAACCCGGTCGATGATTTGGAAGGTCAATTTTCCGATAAAGATGTTCTTTAGGTCTATCTAGGTTTTGTAATTTTAGTTTGTATGTTTTTAATTTTAAATTCTTTTTTTTTTTTTTGTGTTTGTTTTTATTTTGAATTTCTATTTTTTTATTTTAAGTTTAATGAATTTTTTGTTTTTAAAAATTCTTATTTTTGAAAGATATATTTTGTATATTTAAAAAAAAATAATAATAAAAAATAAAATAAAAATAGGTAGCATGACAGGTATGGCAACCCGTGCCTACCAAATGGCAGCTTTTGGTAAGAATGTGGAAAGTGTGATCTAGCGTCTACGTGGACAGTGGCAAATGTGACACCACACCCATCAGCCTTATGGCTTGTATTTTGGCCATTTAATGGTATCTTGTGATCTTCCGGTGGCCGTTTTTTTGTTGTTCGCATGTTGTCAAATTCATTGTGTCTCCAAACTGACATTGTAACTAGTTGGATTGTTCAACTTCTTATACTAATTTAGTATTATTGTTTGTTGTTTGTATAAAGAAGACATTTGGTTTATTATTTATAATTATTGGAAATGTAGTAGTGTTTGAGATGGGTACTCAATATATGTTTGATTAGTGATGGGTTCTTATGGAAGCAACATGTTTACTTGAAGTCATCTGAACTTAACAATATTGACATAGCTTAATGTACAAGAAGGTATTAACATGTCACAACTTTGTTTTTTCTTGCTTTTGTAGGTATTGGTATAGTTTTTTATCGTTTGTTAGTGTGTATGATAATTCCATGGAAAGCGTATCTTTGCTACCATCAAGAAGACTCTAATTCAGAAGTTTGAGGTATTGTTGAAAGAGGGAAATGTGTATGCTTTTTCAAATTTTTTTGCCGGTGACAACCATACCCATTTAAAAATGAAAAACACATGTTTAAAATTAATTTTCACAAAAACATGTATGTTAGAGCCATATCATCTAGATTCCCTTGTAATCCAAGTTCTTTTTGTTTTGTGAAGTTTTGAGACATTATTTGTAATGTTGCGAATTTTAAACCAACTTTTTCTTTTTAAAATATAATTAAACAACCCTGAAAGAATCGATCTTTTCAAAAGTACATAGAAATCCATTTGTTCAAATATCATAAAATATAGTATTAAATTAGAGTCATATCATAAAAGCACCAAAAGTCTCAAAAAAAAGCCAAACATCGTTGGGAGTATAGTCATGCCGTGCCCTTCTCTTTTCTCATCGGAACTGTTGGATTAGTGTCTAAGTCCATAACTATTTTTGGTACGTACTTGACCCGATGGTGCATGGTCCTTTTGGGTTGCCTTCACCAAAGCAACTTGATAGGATGAATTATGGAGAGTAAGGATTAAATATGATTTATTAATATATTATGGGAATAATATATTAAAGGAGAAATCATATTGTTTAATTAATATTAGTCAATAATTAATTGGTAATTAGTTTTGTGACTAAAAGAGATTAATTAAACTTAAGGGACTGGAATTGTAATTATAAGATAATTATAATTTGGGCCATGGATTGCCTTGTATCAAGGGTTGGACGAATTCTATGGGGAAGCCCATAAGGAAATCGTCCAAGGGCTTGATTAAAAGGAGTCTATGGGTTGCTTAGGGCTTAAGCATCCAAATTAGGGTTTCCTTGTTAGATAACCCTAATAGCCCAACTATATAAAGACCCCTTAAGGCTCAAAAACGTGGCTAAGCTTCTTGTAAGGGTTTACACACGTTTTTGGCAGCCTCCAACCTCTCTCCTCTTCATCCTCTTGCTTATGGTGTTTGTGAGCCATTAGAGGAGTGACACTTGTGACTCTAAGCATTCCAAAGTCAATACAAGGAGATTTGGGATTGTTATTGCTACATAACAATCAAGGTAACACTATAAACTTATTCTCATGTTAATATGATTATATGTATGCTAGAATTAGGGTTTATAGTCTTGGATTCAAAGCATGTACAATAGAGAAACCTAGATCCAAGCATTAGGGTTTGTATGAGCACATAGGATGTCTTATGACCAAAACCCATCAGTGGTATCAGAGCCTAGATTGGTTTCTATTGTATTGATGCTTGATATAACTGGAAAATTCGATTTTTTGGATTCTGGAGGCTGGACTCGCCGAGTCCATGCAGACTCGACGAGTCCAAGGCTGACTCGACGAGTCAACTCGTCAGACAGGCGGATTTTCGGGATTTTTACCTATTATGACTTAGGATAATTACCATAATTGTTTAAACTTAATAAAATTCGAATTTTATTAATCCCTTATGATTATCCTTGTCAAAATAAAAGATTTTGGTCATCTAATTAGATAATTGTTACCTTATTTGATATATGTGAAGTTATGGAAATTATTTGATCATTATCTTGCAAGAATTTGAACTAGATCTAATTAGATAACCACCAATTATAGTTAATTGCCTTATTTGAATTATGTGATCTAGAATATTCTTGACAAGTTTGGAATAGTTTCAAATTAATCCCTTTAGGTTTTATAGTTTAAATTTGAACCCCAAAAGTTTTGTTGTTTTGAAATTTAAATAGTTAAAACCCTAATGTTTTGAAAAAGGTTTCAAAACTTGCCCTCAAGTTTTGGAATTTAAAAGTTGATTAAAAGGTTTAATTAGAAATGTTAAATTCTAAAACTCTAGTAATGTTTTGAAAAGTTCAAATCACACCCTTATGGTTTTATTAATTAATTAAGGAGTATAATTAAAAGAGGTTTAATAAATCCATAAAAGTTTAGGTTAACTATTTAATAGAATTAAAGTGTAATTGTTAAAGTTAACCACAC